ATCGACCGAGGTCAACGTCCGTCGAAACAATTTTTAAAACATTTAATGAAAATATTTAATAAATTATTTAAAATAATTAATTTCGACGTACTTCGGACTCCCGCTCGCCTCGGTCGCGGCGTCGAGCAGCAACCGCCACCGTCGGAGGACGTCGAACGTCTGTTGCTGGTTGGTGGTGAGGTTGTGGTAGAGGTTTTCGTAGTTCCCTTCCGGGAGGTCAGGGATGCCGGATTCCGCTTCGTCCTGGTAATAGTCCTCGATCTCGGCGAAGTGCTTGATGGCGTCCACGCGGAATCCGTCCACGCCCATGTCCAGCCAGAATTGGAACACGTCCTGATGGGTCGATCGGATCGTTCGCGAATCATTTTCCGCTCGTTCGTCTTTTTGCTTGGAAGCATTCGTAAGCTCGCCCGATGTGCAACTCGACCTCCAATTTAATTTGTTCGTTGCGATAACGGCCGCAATTAGGCAAGTTACTATTTTTCATGTTTGCCATCGAGCGGACTATGTCTGGGTGGTTCCCCTAATTCGAGACACGTGCCTCATGAATGAATTCATGACTGTAGCATATAAAAATACAAAAGCTTTTTGATTAAAAGCTTTTCCTAATCCCAATTAGGCCCGGGGTGAGCGAAAGTGTTAAAGAAAATGCGTACGGAAAGGGCCTGGATGAGGTTCTCGTTGTAACCATTCACGTCCGGTTGCTCCGGGAGGAACTGGTGGAGGAAGTACTGTTCTCGTTCTTCTCTGTAGGTCCATGCGGATCCCCCGAACACACTCAGCTGGAACGACATCGATGAGGTTCCTTAGACTTTCGGTCAAATGGAAGGATGGATGACGGTGGGGGGGGTGGAGTTTCGCAAAAAGTTCGCACATGGGGGGATTCACACGTTATGTAACGGGGAAAGCGGTTATATCGGGGGGCATCAAGGTGGAGAAGTCCCATCCAGGAGTGAGTCTTACTTCACTGAAGAGTGTATAACGAAAAAAGAAACTGATTCACGACCAATTAAATTCATTTCTCGGTGAGGCTTTGCTTATTTAACCCTTAATAGGGCAAAACCATGCAGAAGTTCAAGAAAAATAAAGCGATATCGTACCGCTTTTCACCTCCAAGTTGTTCAAATCGCCCTTAATACGTTCAAATTGCTTGTCTATTGTGACTTCCAGAGTATTAGCTATGAGGAATGAGTTGGTACCTACGGAAGTGCACCAGCGACCACTCATGGATAGTGTGGGAGGGAGGGAGGGAGATGGTACACTATTGTAACAGTAAAGGATTAAACACGAATAGGGGAAAGCGTTGGGGTTGAGGTTGTGCAGGGAGGGTGGAGGATGGAGAATGGATGGTGGAGGTTGGGGGAATGGAGGGTGGAGGATGGAAGGAAGAAAGTAGGAGGTTGGGAATGGAGGGGAGTTTGGGGCCTGGGAAGGAAGCCAGAATCCTACAGTGCATTCCTGCATCCGTTTCCTCTCGTCTCAGTTCCCAATTTCGATACACGTGCAATTGAAGATTTCCGGGCTGTCAAGCCTTAACCAAAAGAGGTACGGCTCGCGAACAGCCATTTTGTTCGTGCGTGCCAATTTTCCACCGCGAAGGAATACACCTCTCGTCATCGTCAGGCGTGGGAAGAGACACCCACACGGATAAACGAAGAGAAAAACAGCGGCCGAATGATCGTTCCCTCGGCGAGGACTCACCCAGTTGCTGGGCGGTTGGCGTTCTCCCTCATCGTCGAACTTGGGGTCGACCCAGACGTAATAGTCGTCGTAGGGCGCCTCCCCGGCCAGACTCCTATTGAACCATTCGTGCTGGTCGCTGCTGTGATTCGGCACCAAGTCCATCACCAGCTTGATCCCTGACACCGGAACGACCTTTAAAATAAAAAGGCCTTCGGGGAGGAAGGATCCCTTAGGATCACTCACCCCTGTCCTTCATGGCCTCCTGCATCTCGAAGAAATCCTCCAGCGTCCCGAAGATCGGGTCGATGTTGGTGAAGTTGGAGATGTCGTAGCCGAAGTCCTTCATCGGGCTCTCGTAGACCGGCGACAGCCAGACCGACCGGATCCCGAGTTCCACCAGGTAGTCCAGCTTGGATGTGATCCCTGCGATATCGTCCGGTGGTTCTTATCGATATCGTCCGGCGTTCATCGCCGACGTCGTCGAGGTTCCTCACCTTTGATGTCTCCCACTCCGTCGCCGTCCGAGTCCATGAAGGACCGCGGGTAGATCTGGTAAAGGACAGAACTCTGCCACCATTCTTGGTCCTCGCCCTGCTTGTCCTTGCCCTTGCCCTTGAGGACCAAGTTCCCTCCCCGGACCCCTACGAGCGCCACCAACACGACGAAACCCACGAAAATCCCCCTCATCTCCGCTACGGCTACGAAGAAACTGACTTCCACCGCCTTCGAACTCCCCCCCGATATAACCGCTTTCCCCGTTACATAACGTGTGAATCCCCCCATGTGCGAACTTTTTGCGAAACTCCCTCCGATAAGAAATGTTTCCTCGACGTGGCAGTGGACCGGCCCTCGTCTAAACGCCACGTGTACAAAACGCACGCAAAAATATTCCAGAATCTTCTCTCGTCGAGATCGGAATTCACAGCAAAATGTAAAACTCGGGGGGAAAAGTCCGACTTAAGGTCCGCAAAAATGAAAAAATAAATTGAAACCGCTCATCGGTCAGTCTCTCAGTTGATCATCGTCCCAAGCGAGAGAACTAAATTTACTGAGTTGATTAACCGAGTTAACTCGGGAAATTCCCTGATTTGCGAATTCCGTTTACAAGAAGATATTTGGCAAGTTTTCTCTCATATGTGACCTTGAAAACTTCCTTCGATTTTCCTTTTCATCATCAGGCGTTTTCGTTTCAGATTTAATTAAGGAAGATCCTTTTGGATAATTAAAATTCCCTTTGAACTCGAGTGTTTCCAGCGAGTTTCTCTCTTCTGAATAAATGTGAATTAATCTTTTTTACTTTTAAAAGGAGATAAGGAATTGCAGGTTTGTCTCTCTTGCCGAATTCGTGCGAAATTTTACATTTATTTATTTATCGATTTTATTATCTACGTATATCTACACGTGATATATTATTATAAATAAATGCTATGTACTTTGTACGGTACATTTTTCTGGTGCGATTAGCGAGGCAGTGCACATCGGAGGAATAGCGAAATGGCCTTGCGCCGATAAGCGAGGAGCGCTCATTTCGGCAAATTAGGCAAGGACTTTTGCGAAGGACTTCCCGACTAACTCGGACCGAAAAAGGGGAAATTATCGTGTTTCAAAATCGCCACTCGGCCTTTGCAAATTTAGATGGGGGGGGGGGGGGTGAATGCGCAAATGGGAGCGATTCATCCATAAACGCTCGCTTGAACGAGCTCCATGCAATGAAGTCAGACTCGAAATAGCACGTGCATTTTTGCACTCTTTGACGTCTGAAAGCATTTTTATTTTTGGATCTTTCATCCCCGTTTCATCCCCGTTTCATCCATGAGACGGAAAAAGAACGCGCATATCCACGTGTGATTCCGATTACGTGCCCCTCGGACCCTTTAACCTTTGCCGAGAGAGGAAAAATCAGAGGGAATTCCTTCGATCCGAGGGAATTCCTCCACGATTCATTAAAAAAAAAAAACAATGGAAACCCCCCGCGGAATTTTCGAGCCAAAAAAAAGGAGAAAAGGAACGGGGATCGTCTTTCCCCTGTCTCACGAAAGGGAAACCGAAAGGAAACTGAACTTTCTCCGGTCGCAGACACTTGTGATCTTTGTCAGCGGCCTTTGGAAAGCGAGCAAAGGACCGTGACACTTTCACCGATCCGCATTCGAAACGAGACGACGTCCTTTCCCCCCACCCCCCCCCCCCCCCCCCCCCCCCNGCAACATGAGAGACCACGTCCTTTCCCCCCCCCCCCCCCCCCTCCCGTTTATCTCTTACCGTAACGAAAAAGCCGGCGTCGGCCACCCTCGAACGACGAGGTCGAAGGGACTCTGAACACTCCCCTCGGTCAGCCGTGGAATCCGCTCGTGTCCGTCTCGTCGCTGCCCGACCTCCACCCCGACCTCCAACCCGACCTCCAACCCGACCTCCAACCCGAACAGGTAACAGAAAAAAAGGTCTCGATCGAGGGCCTTTATAGAGGGCATCGAAAGTGCAGCCGGGTGCGTGAGCGCGTTAGGGGATTCCCTCGACATCCTCTCGCTTCACGGCGAGTCGTAAATAAAAGAAAGCATAAACGACGGAGTCGGCGGGCCTACCGGGCGACCCTGCCTCGACGACCCTGCCGTGACGACCGTGCCTCGACGACCCTGCCGGTTCTCAAAGCGGCCGACAGGCGGAATGGGGGATCCTCCGAGGAGATATTGGCGCAAATGCGCCAAGTAACTCTGCAATTGGGTCGATCAGCTCGTCTTGACATTTTTCAGCGGGAAAATTTTTCATTTGTTGCCGAAAATGTTGCTGGGGGGGTTCTTGCCTCTTCCGGCCCGTCTCGACCGACTGCGTCGTGCCAGTCGGTACCGGTCGGCGGTACTGCGATGGGTCCTCTGCTGCGTTCGTGTCCGGGTGCGGGGATTCTTCGGGATTTCAATCGAGTGATTAATTTACTAATTAGAGAGTGATGCGCTTCCGGCGGTTCTCGGGGTTCTTGGCGATCTGAATGCGACTGAAACTCGGTTCGGCTAGTTCAGGTAAGGTAAAATAAAAAAGGGAGGCTTTTTTCGTGGGAACCGAAAGTAATGGAAAAGGAAGCACCCAGGCCGGAAATGAGGGAGAAATCGAAGTCGAGAGGGCGATGTTCCGTTAAACCATTATTGACGGGTCGGTCGACGTTCGGCCGCACCGGCGTTTCGCTATTGCATCAGTTTCTCGGCTACCGTCAGCCGTGGCTGATGATCAGCGATCGCCTGAGAATTATAAAATAAACTCCACGGCTCGAGAACGTGTGGGGAAGGGAGGCGGGAAGGTGTGAAGGCAGGAAGGAAGGAAGGACGGGGAAGTGACCTCGAGCATCTGGGGATCAATGNCAAAAATATTAGACATATATGTCAAGCCCGTAGCCAAGATGGGGGGCGCGGGGGGGTGGGGGGGGGGGGGCGGGGGGGGGGGGAGAAGTGGAGTGTGTTCGTCTCTCGCTTGACACGAAAATCCGCAGCGACCGACCATGAAGTTGCCTCCTGTGGTTCCGATTGTCGAGGGCCCTCGAGAGAAAGGACACTCGACTTGCGTCGCTCCCTCGCAGTGGGAGCTGCGTCTTTCGAGCCGAAGAAATTTTCCTGCGGTGAGCTGGCTTAGGGTGAGGAATGCGTTCACCGTCGGACTTGGGATAAGATCACGAGGAAAACTCGGTTCTTGTTCCGCGAAGTCCTTAAACTGTTCCAGCCGGTCGCAGGTACGATTCAGCTCGAACCCCGTGATCGCATCGAGCAAGATCATCGCCCGCACCGAGGCACCCGGGACACCCCGAGGCACCCAGAGACATCCTCGGGCTCCCGGAGACCCCTCGAGGCCCCACCGCCTCTCGTTCGGGTGCTAAGCATGGTGCTAAGAGCCCGGAGGCAAACAAGCCGTGGGCGTGCATGCACCTGCTGTCACTCCGTTCAAGGGTCGAGGTCGCGGAAGTAGAGAAGCCTCCTTGAAATACCCGTCCTTCGACATCGACGCGTCCTCTCCTCGGTCATCCCTCGGTTATCCTCAACCTCCTCGTTGCACGCGGATCCCTCCCGCCGTGCGTCCTCCCCCTCCTCGACCGCCCTCCACTAATCTTATCGAGGGCCTTGACCAGGAGAAGCCCAGTTCCCATCCCACGGCATTGATCCCCAGATGCTCGAGGTCACTTCCCCGTCCTTCCTTCCTTCCTGCCTTCACACCTTCCCGCCTCCCTTCCCCACACGTTCTCGAGCCGTGGAAACGCTAGCCCCTTCCGTCCCGCGAGTGCCGTGTTTATCCATCGTTTCGTCGCCTCGTTTCCTTCTACACGGAAATCGCCTTCCGAGTTCGGCCCACGTGCGATCGGAGATGCCAAAGAAATTGGAGGCGAGGCGGGTCCGTGCAACAGTCCCCCGTTTTCCCATTTTCATCGATTACATGAAGCTCCCTCGAAGTTGCGTCCCCAACACGCGGCACTCGAGAGCAGGAAGCTTATCGGGCCCTGGAACAATCTCTTCACGTGTTTGTGAGAAAATAACGGAATTCCTGCAGACAGTCCCCTTGGTGAACGGGACCGGAAAAGTGTGTCCTGTGCGAATCGAACCATTTGTCCTCTTCCTGTCCTATTTTTAGCCAAAAGTTTATGTATCGGTAGCCCCCCCTTGCACACACACATCCGCATTACTGAACTGCGATCTTTCATAGATGTAGGATATTCTGGTAGGCTTACTTGAGTCATTTCCGGTTCCATTTGACACCCCGATTCGATTGTTCCCTTTGTATGCACGAGAAAAACTAGAGTCCGTGCTTCGCCGTGGCCTTGTCCCGCGAATCACCCGCCGCATTCCCCGCCCGGCGCTCGTTTCCAGCGGATTTCGTAACCAGAACGTCCCTCCCTCTCCCCCGCAGATATAAGAACCCCATGACGTGAACCGTCTGTGATATCGACGGACCAGGCTCGAGATGAAGAAGTCAGACCCCGAAGCGTGCGAAGACGAGCCCGAACAGGCCAACCGAAAGGTGGCGACCGGCGTCGCCCTCACCATCTTCTTCGCCTTCCTCATCTCCGTGTTCGTGATCCTGATCGTGGTCCACCCCGGGAAGGTGGAGGCGGACGCGGACGACACCCTCCCCGCGATGAACTCGACCACCCTCGCGACTCCGTCGTCGCCCGCGGACGGCGCGGCGTCCTTCCTCTTGGAACGCAGGCCCCTTCCGCCCGTCCGATCGTGATCCGCCGTCGTCTGCCCGTGATCTGTGCCACCAACAGTATTGTCGCTACCAAAGTGAATGGAATAAATTTTATTCGATTGAACGTTTTTCGTCTGATATATCGTGAGGGAACCCAAATATCTCCTTAGTCGTGCGGGAGGGAGCTAGAGAAAACGGAGAAACGTGAAATCCTTGGGCAGTAACCAAGTCTGTGCGGTAAGTAATTCCTCTTTTTGGGAGGAGGGGGGCGAAAAAGGAACGGAACTTATTGGAACGAATTTCGTTTCTCAAATAACGAGCGACCACCTTAGTACTCTAAGAAAAAAAGTTGAGGATATTGGTGCCAATTGTAACTTGTCTTTGAAGTTCATAGCAATTCGATTCGATATTTTTTCTTTGCCTTCGGTCGATTTTCACGGCTTTGTTGTAAAATAGTTATTCATCACTGAATAATTATTAAGCTGTACTTGATAATGACATTAATGACATAATTATCACGCTTTTGGCCCGGATTCAGATTGAGTTGTTTCAGCACGGAAAGCACCAAAACTCCATTTATATCTGTAACTAGTCACTTTTCGAAAGTAACTTGCCCATCACTCCAAGCGGGGAGCCGATGGTGGGCAAACGGGGGGCAAATGGTGGGCCGATGGCGGATTATCCCCTTGCAGGAAGCAATTTGCTGGATGCGATCGAATCTGGGTGGTCACATGTCGGAGACCATCCGGTGTGACTTCAATCTCATCGCGATGGTGCGATACGCGACGACGAGGCAGACGTCGCCGAACTTTCACCGTCGGTCGTCTGTCGACCTGCGATCTCACGTAGACGGCGATTTCGTCATGCACGCCGTAAGCGTGACTTGCAAGCCTTGAAACGCATGACGATCGGGAAATCCGGATGGAAAGTTCGCGTGTGGCTTCGAACGAGGCATCAGGTCGCTTGGGAGCCTGATTGAATCGAGATGTTCGGGTCTCACACGAATGACGCGTGATGGGGCCAGAGGTCCGAATCGAGAGGTGACCTGCCGTTTAACCGCGGTTACTAGGGCCATGCAGCTCTGTACGTCTTCTACCCCTTCTACTAATGCTTATACGGCTATAAATACTATCATTTCTATATACTAGCCTGGCCTTCAGAGTTGTGAGCCACGTTCTACTCCCTTGACGAAATGACAGTGAAGCGGAAGGAGAAGCCTGGGGAAGATGCTCGTGCCCTCGGGCTATCAACAAGCAAGGGGGAACGTGGAAATGTACAGGCTGTCCCAGAATTTCCGTCATATTTTTATATTCATACTTTTCTTAACACAAAGCTAAGGTATAAGGTTCTCGCAGCAGAAACAGCAATGCTCAGATTACCTGTTTAAAAAAAAGCACGAATGATCAATGTAATAAAGCCATCGGCCTTTCGTTAAGGAAAAGAAAAACAAAATGTGATCTGGGACACACTGTAAATGGCCTTCGGATTGGTCCCCCGAGAGGGCTCGGCTGGCCGCTCTGTTGTGGAGTGGCTTTCAAATGCGAGTTTTCCCCGAACGTTTTCGGCATTTTTCCTGCGTGGCGTGGGTCCGTGGGCTTCGCTGGTGCATGGTGGGCACGAGGTGGGCACGAGGTGGACCCATGGTGGACACATGGATGTTCTAAGGATTTGTTTTCACAGCAATTACAGCGAAATTCGATGACTACCCCAGGCTAAATCAGGGGATTGAAGTTGGAGTTAATGTTATTCCTGGATGTAATCAATTGAAAAATCACTTATTTAGTGCTTCGTTGTGGTGCTTGTGCTAGGCACAAACCGTCAGAAACCGATCCTCTTGGGAGGGGGATGGATACCAGGAATATGTGAGAGTGAATCGAGGGTTAAAAAAAATATATGCGACATTATAGCTGAGTCTTTTGCGCTGCGTAAATACTGCAGAATACTTAATGAAATCTGATGTGCGTATATGGTAATATGCAGGACTGGCCCCCTGCTATTTCGGCGCTCTGTGCAGAGAGACTCCCAACGACCCCCCCCCCCCTCCCCTTAGAGTAGAGAAGGGTGAAGCCCTAGCGTCCAAAATGACACAGAAACGGAAGGCATTTCCACTTTCTGAAGTAAAGCTGAGGGTAGCATCCATTATTGCCTCATACATTTAGTCACGTTTTGGCGCCCCTGGTGAATTTGCGCCCTGCGCGGGGATACATGTGGCACATGCCCAAGGCCGGCCCTGGTTATATGAACGCCTTTTCACAGGTCCTTTCCCTTTTTCATCCTCTCCCGAATGGGGACGATGCGAAAAGCCTCAGCGAATTATCATTATCTATATCCTCAATGAATTACCAAAATCCACTCAGAAATAGTTGATGACGAATCAGAATAGGCATTGAGTCTGGCATCTAGACCTAACTTTTCTCGAGTATTAAGCCTTAAGGGCCAATCAGGCCTACGACGTACCCAATTCGAATTTCTCGAACTTTAATTCACGGCGAGGAGATCCAGCGAAGTACTGTCTCGGAAGTACAGATCGGCTATGGGCGCCTTGAGACAGGGATGTCCGTGCAGTGATGTCAACGCAGTGATGTCCACGCAAGGATGTCCGTGGATGGCTTAGTCGGTAATGGGTTTGCATCGATCGGCCGCCTCCAATCACTGGAACAGACTCATCTAATTCAATTAACTCTGCACACAATCCTATCATAAGATTAATGCACAGTCACGAAAGTAGGATCGCTCATCAATCCGACAGAAGTCAAGCATGATATCCGACAACCGTGGAGGAAAGGGGAGAGGGGCGACTGCTTTCAACACTCAACACTGGAAGGTGCATGGACAACGAGAAAGGCATGTCTCTCGTTCTACAAGCCCACATCTTTCCCTTGGTAACGGCATGACCGAAATTCCCCGAGGAATGGCTGCTCGATTCAAATGGTAGAATTCGAAAAAAAAACTCATGAAGTAAAATTATTGATACATTGGCTGAAAGCAGGGCCGGATTAAGAGGGACAAAGGAGGCTGTCGCCCCGGGCCCACTCTTCCAGGGGCCCCCCCCCCCCCTCATTTCATTTCCCCGAAGGAAATGAAAAACGTTGAATATTTGGTAAAGTAGCGGGGAGGAAGGGGGGGGGGGGGGTTGCCTCAAGAACTCACTTGCCCCGGGCCTCACAACTTCTTAATCCCGCCCTGGCTGAAAGTGAAATTGTGTTTTCTGCCCCTCCCGCTAACTTCAAAAGTTTTGTGGAGTATTTTATATTTCAGAGAGGAATACGAGAAGGGTGGATTTTCAACATTGGAATGATGCATGAAATCATCCTGTTAGAGGCCCTTTTATCTAATCGGATCCTCCAGTCGTTGAAAATCGGTTGAAGTAGAATCCCCAAGGTCGACACGCCATTCTGTCGTACTTTGGGTCCATCGTGAATGAGTCATTATCACAAGCGACGAGTCATCATCGTGAATGATTATCAACCGTGATTATGAATCACCCAGTATTGTGCGTCGAAAAAAAAAGAGGAAGCAAATGGCTCATTAGGATCGATTGTGGAAATTTCCGACATCCTGAGGAAATGCCGTTTAAATCGATCGTCGAATCGTTGACTCGACAGGCGGGCAATCGGGAATTAAAAGACTTGTGCAATTTCGCACATCGTCCTTTTCAGTTTGGAGGACCACGTAGTCAAAAAGTTGTTGAAATGCGATGCCCGCGAGACGGATTTGCAGTTGTATCAATATGTTCGTTGGAAAAGTTTTCGAAAACTTCCACTTTTATTTCAAAATTTTTTGTTTCTAAGAGCAATCGAGTAACTATTTCACATACGAATATTTACATTCTATTTCATACTTGATCGTATTTGCGCACTATTTCCCCCCTTTAACGGTAATCGTGACGGAACAGCCGACCCAGACTATTTGGCGCATCGCTACCGTTGGCACAGTGCCAATTCCAGTGCAGCGCAAATGCGTGCCACTCCGCCGCGTCTTTTCTCCCTCCGTTTCCCCTCTTCAGCCATTCAGCCCCCATCAGTCATCAGCAGCCACCATCAGCCATTCCCACTGCCGTTGCATTCCGCTCTGCCGTTTCTTCGAGCAGCGATTCGCTGGGTTCGTTCCGGATCTTCCTTGTATAAATATATATTTCTACATCTCCATGGCTCCCAAGAGAGCATGCGTTCGAAATCGTTTGACGTCGAACAGCCTCGACGCGATGCATTCGCAGCCATGTGGTCGAAACCCGGCTTCGATCGGATGTGACGCAACCCGCAGCATGGGAACCTGGGAGAGAGGTGCATTCCTCTCCAGTTGTCGACGGAATCCGTTCCAAGAAACCCAGTCGTAAATAGGAAGGAGTGAAGCCAGGACCGCGAGGGTGTGTCTCACCCAAGCCTCGAGGAAGTTTGTTTATCCTCGTCACGTGTCACTCGATCACGTGATGGGACGCTGGCGTCGCAGTCGCACGGACTGCCATGGACATCCACCCCGTCCCCTTGGCCCACTCCCTCCCGTTCGAGGCTTGCACGGTGGAGCGGCGCGTTCCGGCTCTTCATTCATTCTAGGCCTAAGCCCGAATCTTACGATAGGCCTGGCCTATGCGTAGTGCACAGTGGTGGCAGAGCACGGCAGCCTCGATTCTTGAGGCGTATGTTCTCTATAAGCTAGTCTTAGTTAGATCTGCTACGTATATCTGGGTTTGTCTAAGTCTGGAGGCCGTGGCCTTGAGATAAACTTACACGTAACGTAAGGCTGGCTTGAATGGAGTTCCAGGCCTAACGTTAGGCATAGGCCCCCATGTCGAGTCAATGGGTGTTCAGGTCTAGGGGCCTAACAAGCTACTAATGTCTCATCTACAGTCATTCTGATTTTTTAAAAATAATTGTTTTCTTTCTTTCTAATCATTCTGATTTTCACAAACCTTTTCCAGGCATTAAGCTTTTGGAGGAGAGACAAAAGAGGAAAACTTGCTTTGGCCTCAGTTGTGTGTCAAGTTTTGTGGGCCACTTCATTACAGCCAATTGGGAACATGGATGGGAATGGAGAAGTCGAGCCTCCTGATCAGCCGAGGAAAATTGCTTATTGGATGAGTGAGAGAAAATGTGGGGAGTTCAATATGGAGGAGCTTCAAGACATACTACGGTGAACCCAAAAGTTTCATAGGTCTATGGTATGCCTAACATATTTTTGAATGTGCTACTGTCACTGTTGACCACACTTTCAGATTGATACCATGTAAGTGAAATTTTAGTCAGATATGCATGTAGTCTAGATTGGGTTCTCAACATATCAACTGCAATGGCATCTAATCTCAAAAGGTTTCAGTGCCACTCATGTTTACATGTATTTTTCAGTTTGTATCTATTCCTTGTAAATGGGTTAACGTTAGTGTCCTTACATTAGTAGTCAGATTCAGGGGACACATTATGCTTTGGTTTCACTCATGTCATGAACACTCTTGGTGAAACTTGTATATCACCTACAGGAAGGAAAGGCATTAGACTCTCAGCCCTAGGTTGTAATTTATTGTGCATATGTTCTGTTCAGAAATGAAGGAATCCAGAAGGCTGCCAGCGTGGGAAGTTTGCTGCTTGTACATTGGCCTTGTCCTGGGATGCACAGGCAGAAGGCCTAAGACTGCTGGATTGAATATCATACTGCTTGGTTATGTTAAGTCAGCAAATAAATGCGGATTGCTGGACTTATACTTTCGGGGAATCCTTCAAGATTCCCTTGTGCTTCATTTGGAAAGTAATCCCCTTAATTATTAGGGGACCCTTCCTTATCAGACCTGAGGGTCCCAGCAACCCCTTTGGCAAGAAACTTAGTACAACCTCTGACTGTGTGGTGTGAAATAGTAAAAGAAATAGACCTAAGTTAAAATAGCAATTAGGCATAAATTTCAGGTCCAGATTTTGAAGTAATTACTTTACTTCATCATTGAGATCAGTAATTATATTTATTTTATAACTAGTCTGTCTTGATTATTTGTTCTCATATTGCATTATTTTTTAAATTGAATGAATATTGGAAGTAAATAGAGATTTTTTACTCATACATTTTCAAAAAAGATCAAGTTTAATTTTGGCAAGTCTTTAAATATTGCAAGATCTACATATGGTGCATAATAATCATTTGAAGCAGCAAGATGGGAGATTTATTTGATATAGATCTATATATTGTATTCTGGAGCTTGATTTTTCTTAGGATTGGATTAAAAACAATGGGATAATGAACACATACTTTGATACCAATGCATACTGAGAGGTTTCCTTCCGACAAGCTGACAGAATTGAATTTGAAAGTGGAATAGTCTCAAGGATAGCATGCAAGAAACATATGGCTGCTGACTGTCAGCTTTTCATTTACTGGCACCTCCTGTTTCTTGTTGAGCTTCATCCCTGAAATCTTGTCCATGGTTTACTTTCTTGGAGATGTTTGGAGGTTGGCATGAACCAAATCCATTCTTTAGCCCTTCCATAAATGATGTTCTGTGTTTTGGAGAGTATTATTCTCAGTGGAAGACAGTTTATCCTACTTGCTACATTGCAGAACATTGTTACTACATGCAAGTCTCTTGTCCTGGACTTAATATTTGCTGCTGCAATTTTTTAAAATTTGAATGGAGTTTTTTTTCTTTCTCCTATGCCCATGTCTCTGGTTTTCAACAACACATGATGCCAGGACAGGGTGGTGTTACATTTTCAAGGTGTTGATAAAACAAAGTGCATGCTTTTTGCTTGGGTGATGCTTTAATTATATGTAGCTTTAGTCCCATGAGATGATTCACAGCATTGAAAGATCTTTTCTTTTTTTCATTCCATTTCAGTGGTCATGGTTTAGAGCTGGTGAAGGTGGGTGCCTCCTTCATTTTAGAGTGAAATGTAAGTGCTTTTTTTCTACCCTTTGCTGATTTTGCTTTTCAAATCTTCAGGTTGACTTGGACCAGCCCTTGGATAAGCAGGGGCCATTTGCTGTTTTTCTTCACAAGCTGGCCCCATTCCTCCTGGCTTCTGAGGCCGGAAATGCTCAGGTGATGGTCAATAAATATCTGATTCCAAGGAAAGAGAAATTGGGCTCTCCCCCTAGTTACTTTTCTGGACATAGCCCTTTCACTATGCAGGATTGCATCCTTAATCATGGCAAAGTCCATATAGCTGGAAAGTCCTTACATGCAATATGTGAAATTCTTCTCTTGTAGGAGTCTTGAATGGGTAATGAAGAAAGAATGAGTCCATCTCACTTGCTGTATCTCCGCCCCTCACCTTTCTTGGGAATGGTTTCCATAGCCTGCATACATTGCTCTTATGACAGCAACTCCCAACTGAAGATAATTTGAAAGTTCTGATCTGTTTGCATTGTTTGCTATGGCCTAGTCACTGGTGACAGATCTGGTTGTTGATTAAACTATACCATATTGTTATTTTAAAAACATTTCATTGCATATAGAGAATACAGCAATTTTTTTTCCCATGGGACTTATTTTGAAAGCTAGATGAATGTGAATGAATCTTCGACTAAGTGGAATCTGAACTGAATGGAAGTCACGTGTTCCCTCGTGGTGTTAAAGAAGTGGACTAATTTGGTTTTTGCTCCTTTCAGGCTAAAGAGAAGGTGAAAACTATTGAAGCCTACTTGAAGAGACATCCAGAAACTGTCATGTTGGATCCCTTTCCGAACGTTGAGAGACTTCATGATCGTCGCATCATGTACAGTGCCGTGGAAAACAGTGACCTGAACAAAATTGGTACAGAATCTGTCCTTATCTCTTGTGGCTTGAGTTGAAATGGTGCATGACTAATTTATGTTTTACTCTTAGATCATGTCTTCGTGCCATCCTTTGTGGAGCTGAATGCAACTGATGTGGAGAAGAATCTGGAGATTGTCACCCATGCTGGCATTACATTTCCAATGGGTAAGTAGAGGAAATCCTTCAAGTAACCCTTTCATGGGGAATGTCAGATCAGTCCCTAGATAGAATTGATGCAATGTATGTATTTTCTCATGCAAGTCAAGTATGTTTTCTCATGTTTTTCTCCTTGTCCATTTTTTTTGTGCTAGTTATGAAGCCAATGTCTGCCCCAGAGCACCAGGTGAATTATCATCCTGTTCTTCAATAATTCTAACTGGCGCTATCAGCCCCATCGCTTTCGCTTTTTGTTGCTGTCCCCTTCAAACCAGTTCTAGGTTCTGGTTTATGTTTATCTGGTTCATCTGTTCCATGTACTGCTCATGTAATTTGAGATTCTGGGTCAGCATTTGCAACTGAGACATTCTTTTCCATCTTCAGATGTGGCTTGTCTTTGGACCTCAAGGGCTGAAGGACATTCAGCTGCCATGTGTTGCCATGACTTTTGTCAATCACAATGCGCTTCTTTACAAAGTCTTTGTTATTGGGCACCATTATGAGATTGTGGAAAGACCCTCCATTCGTAATCTCCAACCATCGGGTAAGAAAAAATTATGCTTCTTCACTGTGCTAATGATCTTGAAGGCAACAAGATTGTGATCTCATTGCAGACACTGCACCAACAATTGAATTCAACAGTCACAGCATCAGCAAGCCAGACTCTGACCATCCTTTGACTGTGAAGGAGGAGGATGATGAAAAAGCAATTAAGAAGGAAGATCTAGACATTGGTCTCTTTGATCGAATAGTCCATCACCTGAGAGAAGATCTTGGACTCATGCTGTTTGGTGTAGATGTTGTCATTGAGAAGGGAACAGGGAAACATGCAATCATTGACATCAATGTGTTTCCGGGTAGGAAATCATGATCTCTGTTGTCATATACTTGTTCCTTTGCATGAGTTTTTATGTATTCAATTTGAGTTCTTTGAAGAAGACCCAAGTAGATATGAACTGATTCTGCATCCAGGGATGTAGTAAAGACCTAATTTACTTAATTGTACCGAAGTCAAGGTTTGCAGATTTAATGCTTTTGAAAGATGGATGTGGTAGCCCATGATAAATTGAGAATACTGGAAGACAGCCCTTTAACAGGTTGGCTGCCACAGGGCATACCAGTGCGCCTCATTAAGTCCCTTTTCCTGTGCCATGGGGGGCACTGGTGCACCCTGTGCTTCACCTTCTCCAAGGGATGTAAAAATTTATTTTGACCCAGGAAAGTCACCAAACCAATATAGCCATGGCAGTCAACATGTTAAATTCACTTTCTCATATGGTCACTCATGTGGGAGCTCTTAATTTCAAGATGAGTTCACATGCAAGACCTACCTGAATGTTTAGATATACAAACTCAAGCTTATGTGGAGTTTGTTCCCATTTAGTTCCTAAAGCTATTCCTTATGATGTTTGGTTTAATATTGAGTTTTATGGTCTTATAATGATGTGTCTTGCTTTTGCTTCAAATAGACTGTTTCCTTTTACATTAAAATCTCTTTGTACTGTCAGAACCATGATGAACATGGATAATCTTTTATTGAGAGAGAGAGAGGTTGATCCATACCTCAATTGTAGGATCTGAGCAGTTGATTTTGGCTCCTAAGTCTTTGCATTTCACAGTGACAGCTTTGTGCTCCTCACAGGCTATAGTGGTGTGGCCGATGTCATGTATCACCTGAGCGAATGCATCCTGACTTGCGACGCGGAAGCAGGAAGTGAACTCTCTGACGTGGTCGACTCTGGGATCGAGATGGGATACTCGAGCGATGAGAAGCAGAAGCTTCCGTTGACTACGGTGCGTCCCATCAAGCCGAGACCAAGGCGCCCTCCCCGAACTTTTGGGGCACCGGTCTCCCGGGCTCCTTCCTGAAATGCCCAGCTGATGTTCCCCCTCGAGGGAGAAACGTTCCATCTATGCAAATTTGGCTGCTCATCTGGTGCCCCAGGGTTATATATTCCTGAATGGGAAATGAATGGTGCCATTGTAGAGGAAAACTGCATTCTCCCCCCCAACTCTGCATTGACCAGTTTCGTGACATTCCCTTAGTTTACTTTTTTTTTCAATATCCTTTTATTTTATATTAATTTTCTTTTGTGCAATGCCTATATTTTCTATTTTGTTTCCAATATGAAAGCAGAAACTGAATCTTGCCACATGGCACATTAAATTTTTTGTATCTTCTTGTCTCTTGTTCCATACAAGAGCATTTGCTGAATAATTGACCAATCACTAATACTGCATCTTGAGACAAGGGATACAAAAATCCATTTTAAATATGGTTGCTATATAGTGCTGTAATGTGTTTTCAGTGTAAATCCATGCACATCCATGGCTGTGCTCTACTTGCAGCTGGATGTTGTCTAAGAGCATTTGCTTGCATGGCTCTGACAGTTCATGTGTATTTTGAATGCATTAATGACAGGATCCTAACGTATGAAGAGAAAGTACTAGCATTTGTAAGTGATTAATGTTCTTCACAGGATAAGAGATTTAACTTATTCAATAGGTCCACTTAAAAAGGTAAATCTGTGCAAGTGCAACTCCAAAAGCAGATGGGATTCCATGTGTGTCCATTTGCTAATGAGCATTTGCAGTCAAGTGCTAAGTAAATTGGTGTCCGTTTTTGAGCCATCAATTTCATTAGCACTGAAGGCATTGCAGGCCAGATACCTATAAGCCAAAGTGTGTCTTTCCATTCCCTTTTGCATTAAAAAATTGTTTTGTGTCCTATCTGAACTGAATATCCCAGTTGTGAAGTATCTCATACGTTTAACTGTTTGCCTAGTCACTCTAGTTTTGGTTTAGTTTGGTTTAGGTGTATGTACATTCCTCTTGAAATTGTTTTTTGAAAGTCTTGATCTTGGCTCCAGAAAAGCACAGGATGCAATCCTGTTAGAGGGCTATTGCTCCTGAATTTCTGGGGAGCCAAACAAAAGCATTATTGCATGAATCCAAATTTCAGAGGAAACTCTCCAAGCAACCAGTTAGCTCTGAATCTCTGTGCTAACTGCAGTCTTCATGTTTCCTGGATGATTCCATTTGTGGTTTTTTTTGTGGCATTCCGTTTCTTCAGGTCTCACTGCTTCATTACTTTCTTGGCTTTTTCGTGAGGGGTTGATTGTGTTTTCTTTTATCCTTTGGTTTTTCTCTTTAGTCTTGAAATGATGGGAGATGGTTAGCCCCAAAGGAGACACCTCGAGATGCAGAATACTCCTTTTATAGTTTTATACAAAAGTTGCTGAATGATGTATTTGTGCTACAAATAAAGGTTTTTGAGATTTGGAGTCCTAATCCTAATCGCCATCGTCAAATTCATTTCTTAAAGGAAGTTAATGCATGGGGGGGGGGGAACTTGAGCTGAAAATTTATTCATCTCAGTTCTTACGAGTTGTGAACACATATGTGCCACACTTATGCCAAATAAATTCGCATATTCTTCGTGACAACAAAGTTGACTTAATTGGTCATCGAACTTCGAAGAAAATCTGGATAACTGAATTGTCTTCGAAAGCCTTCGATGCAGGGAAGAATGAAGTCCAATAGGTAAAAGAATTATTTGTTGCAAACCTCATATTGTCCCTATGTTCCCTGATGAATTAATTTTAATTGTGCCTTGCTATTCCAGCAGATCAGTGAGCTTCGAGTCTGTCTCCTTCCCTCTCCACCCTCCTTTCCCCCCGCCCGATGGACTCGATTGCCTCGCCTGCCGTGCGCGGACGGTGACCTGGTCCAGTCGACAAACGGTTGGCCTGGTGTTTCGGACTCGTTCGAGTGCATCGGGGACTGCGGATGCTGTTTTTTCTACAGGAGAGCTCTGGAAAGAGACGCGGAGTTTCTAAGGGCCCTATTTCTGCGAAACCATGAGCCCGAACGATCCCGCAGGGATCGCAGTTACCAATTTCCCCGAAATCCCCAAGCTAATTTAATTATTTTTTATATTTAGCTCACGGGATGCATCTAGAGCAAAAGAAAGTAGTTACCCTTATTCACTTCATATTTCACTCCGTCGTACAATAACCCCCGACCCATCTTGCATGAACTCGTACCCGAAATTTAACACGTCCAAAACGGTTGGCAAAAAAAAAATGGCTCTCGTTTCATGCACATGGAAGCGAAAATGAGGCAATAAATCGCTTGCCGGGTCTCAGCAGGTCAGACCCAGCTGGTCACCAGCTGGACGTGACATCTGCTTCCAGTTGATCAACTCCATTTATCCCCCTCAAATAGCCCCCCTTTTTTTTTTTAATTGCTTCCTCGCAATCTACGGATGAGCCTTTTTTCTGCTCCAGAAGTTCAGAATGGGACTAAAACGATTGATTCTCTCCGGCGGAAGAATCGTCGAAGCGATTCTTCGTCCTGGACGCAGAATTGCTGTAGGAGCTTCTCCGGGCAATATGCAATTTCGATTTTTATTTTGGATTGCTGATTACGTCTCGACTGCTCGCAAGTTTAAGTTTGAGAGCCAAAATTTGTTTTACCAGCCTATTTTTCGTTTAATTAAGCCTTGAGTTATGAAAATGTTAAAACTCATGGAAAGAGATAAGATCGTGAAATTGTTTCTCGTGAATCGAGAAAAACCTGTAAATGTTGCAGAGGCATGGAAATCGAAATAGTGAGAAAATAAAAAGCAGTGTCATTCCCCCCCCCCCCCGTAATTACATCAATTACAACTTCTGGTCGAGAGAGGTCCGACCCGCAAAAAAATTTTTTTGGGGAAACCGAAGAGTCAAGCGATGGGATTTTGGGGGAATGCAAGCAGGGAGGAATTTTTATTATTTTTTTTTTACCGCCGGTCGGTTAACCGAAAACCATTGGTAATGGTCTCTTTCCCCATCAGCAAGGTTATAGAAACCCCGAGAAATCGTCTTCGACATTCGACAGCGCAGCTCAGAGACCGGACACGTGCAAAAAAAAATATTCGAATTCAATCGAAACAGTAATTCTCGCGACGAAACCCTTTTTCTTGCATTTTCGAGATTTGGATCAAACGCATTTAAGATTATTATATTTTTAATGATAACCTCAGAATTTGCTGTAATATATAATATTAATCAAATGTATCCCACATTTATTTAAAATAAGTTTGGAGACAAACTTATGAGTTTTGTGGATGCAAATCCCCAGGAATTTAATATTTCTGTTCGAAATCAGAATTTTCAGTTGCAGATTTCGCAATTCTCATCAGCTACCTAACCTCTAGCCCAGCGCGACCGGTTTGGGAACCGCTGCTCTAACCCATCAGCCTAACCGATCTCCCAAGCGCCCGTCCGGTTGCTCGCCTGCCTCGCAAGTGCCTCCCCCTGGAAGGTGCAGAGGACGGCACTGGAGGGACTCGTTCGCTCTCCCGCCCGAAGCCACAAATCTGCATGGGGAGTGGGCGCGATCACGACGAGGTTTCAATCCGTTTCCTGGAGCAGGGTATCATCAGACGGCATCGTCCGATGATCGCGGCGCCATTACCCAATTTTTCTCTGTCGGAACGAAAGTCCTGGTAATAATGGAAGGATTCCCCCCCCCCCCCAGGGATCCGCCGTTGCGAAATCCGCTTCCCACGTCCGACCGTTTTGCATGCGCGGGAACGAGCGGCCGTATCCGTCGAGGGGTACCTGCGTGGTACTCGTTCGGTACTTGCGTCTGAAATATTCAAGGTCGGGGGTGCAGAGACATCTACGGAGGCCAAGGTCAGGGTTTTTTTTATGGCCCGGCATGAATTATTTACGAGGATGGCTGCGTGAATGGATCGATGCATGAGGAGGATTGCCTCTCGAGGATGGTTGCTCTCGGATGTTGCTCTCGAATGGTTGCTCTCGGATGCTGCTCTCTAATGGTTGCTCTCTAATGGGTGTTTACCGGAGGAAGAATTCTGGTTTCCGTCAGGCTATTTTTGACTTCTCATTTCCACGCTGCGTTGCCTCCAGATGTAATTTATGTTGCCGTTCTGTCATCGGACGCGAGGGGACGCGAGGGGGACGTGAAGGGACGCGAGTAAAAAGCCTTTCGGTGTGAAGGGGGGATGAAAGTGGGTGTTGTGACGCGTTCGGATGTCACTTTCACCGACTGAATTAGTGTTATGTCCGAGTCATGGCTTTTTTAAGGGGAAAGAAAGGGCCCGGACCGGGCGCGAGGAGGGGTCGGGACCGGGCGCGAGGAAGGGTTGGGACCGGGCGTGAGGACAAGTGTTTTCAATCTCGGAAAGGCGCAGTCTAGGTTTTTTTTTTTTTTCCTTAA